TAGAGAGGACCAATTCAAACATCAGAGGTGGAATTTGGATATACGGTTTGATTGTGCGTATGCCATGCACGGAATTTACAAACGAGCGACGGGATGATGTAGCCTGCAGTATTAGCGGTAAGCGTGCCAAGTTTTAGGCCGCTCCGATGCCCGGCAGTATTTTATTTCGATTATTATGTTGGAACTGGATTTTTCTTGTTTCACAAGCTTCTTCTATTTTATTGTCTCTATGGAGGTATATGGGGACTTTACGACATTCGGTTTGAAGGCTTTAACCACTTGTTATAGTTTATTTTTGCATTGTATTGGATTAATGTGGCAGTCTGAGGTTGTCCTAGGTGGTTTTCAACTTTATGCACCGGGTTTTAATATCATTTAGCGATTTTACGACAACCGTTTACTATCCAATCAAGGTGACAGCCGAGCGTGGTTTAACTACTACTCTGGCAGTCTTAATAGTACAGCATAATTTTGAACTATTGTTTTACAGAGATCACGCATCCAGGTCTGGCTTTATGATCAGGTCAACTTGAGGATAGAAGGCTGCATTGTGGTAAGATGGCATACTTAATGGGAACTTATACTGTATCCCCCCCCCAGTACTAGTCTTTGATTTTCAATGTTTTAAAAATTCCATCATGGCTCTGATCAGTGTCTCTGCCATTCATCTAAATTAGTTTCACTTAGGAACCGAAGACTCTATTCATCTACCAGTTCAAAACACTGAAAACCAATGTCTTTTAAGGTTGGGTGGGATGCTGCAAAACTACTTGATTGTTTCACGGGGTATTAACTGGGAATTAAAATTAAATGTTACATGCTTTTTAATATCTTATATTTCAGTGATAAGAGTATGAACAGTGTATGCTGCTTTGATAGAATTTCATATCCACTACAATGTCTGTAGATAGTAATGTCACTATTATCAATTTGATTGCTATCCCTCTCATGCTCCTGTATCAAAGAGAAAAAAAACAGATTAATATGATTTCATTACATTCTTGAAATTGTACAATTATATTTTGGTGTGATAAACATGTTGTTTTGTGTTCTAGGGATTTGATGAATACATGAATCTAGTTCTGGATGAAGGGGAAGAGGTTCACATGAAGACAAAAAACAGAAAACCTTTAGGTAAGAGATCAATTTTCTAAACAATTTTTTTATGAATTGGCATTGTTTTCAAATGTAATTTTGCTGTATTGCATGTTAAACATAATGTCGGCAATCCAGTATATATTTTTGATATTGTTTATCTATACTTCTGCCTTTACAGTATCTGTGTTTCCTTGCTGATGCATTTTCAGTTTAGAAATATTTCAATTGTATAAATTTTCATGTTTTTCTTACAGGACGAATATTGTTAAAAGGAGACAACATCACATTGATACAGTCCGTGCAGACAGTAGAATGACCAATGGCATAGTGAACTGGGGAAAAAAAACTGACATAAACTGCTGGCTGATAGCTAGGTATGAAAAGGAAGGTCCTTTCACAAGAATGTGCAGGAGCAGTGAGACAGCACCTGTTTAAAATAAACATTCTCTCCTGCTATTGCCCGATATGTCAGCAGTTGTTTTGCAGGGAAATTCATATGGACGTATGCTTAACTGTTAGGATAATTCGGAATATATTCTCATCAAGTGACAATATCAAGCAAAGTGTCTGAAACACATCATAAAATTCATCAATGTTCAGAAGTCTGTTCTTTGCAAATATGGTAAATGATTAGCCAGGTATAAAAACTGTAAATAATTTCTTTTTTATACTGAGTGGCCTGTTTAGATTAGGAGTGTATTATTTTAATAAAATAGAGAAGTTAACAATGTCTGATGATCTTGTTATAAAAAGCAACCAGCAGCTCAGTGTCATCTTCATCATAATGCATATAAAAACTTGCTTACCTGCAGATGCTCTTAGCAAGATGGGGATGACATTTGGCAATGATTGAATGTCTTTCCCTAATGAAATTGGTTTTTGTGTATTGATGGTTGGGCGGCATTGATGTGGAGTTAAGGGTTGGTGGCCATTTCTTCCAGATAAAAGTGGAAATCAAAGAAACGAAAATACCAACATAAAGGTCCTTCATGCAAGAATAACCTGCCAAAACGAATTTCCCTCCTGGGGGAAAAGCGCAAATTTCTCCTACTCACAAAGTATTACTTTAACCTGTTCGTGCTCTTAGATTTGCTGTTTTATTTCATTTATAATTCAATTAGCTCTAAATTACAATTTTGAACATAGTCTTCCTGTATGTTTTAGGAGGAGTGTAAGGTGCCTTTTTTGGGGTGGGGGGTGGGGTAAGTTTGTAAGGTCTGAATAAGGAGATATAGTTGCATTGCAGGATATGTAGACAAAAAAATATCTCTTTGGGGAATTCTCAATCGTGTACAGTGTACGTTTTAACTGTTTAGATTTGCCTGAGGCCTCTTGGATGCATAGTGGTAAACCTAGCACAATTTCGCCTGTCAGCTACGTAAATCTGTCAAAACATTTGTTATTTGTAAAAGCACCGTATATAACTAGCGGGTGCTGGGTGATGCATTACTTTAGTATCATGTTACACGTGGTCGGTAACATCGCCACCCAACACCTGTCCTTATATGTAGCCTTGACCTTAATCTTAGGGGTCGTCCCCAATGAAACCATCGTTCTACTTGGATTGATCCAATTTCGCGGGCACTCGCTGAATTCAACCAGTTATGCAGATCGACACGTCTCCTCTGGCGTTCAGTAGAATCAGAAAAGTACGCACTTATACGTGTACGTTGGAAACGATGCGTCTTAATCTGTTCAATTGATTGCAAGAAAAAAATCGAAATCAAAACCAAGGCCCACATGACTGGGACCATATTGTGATCTGTGGACAAAACACAAATGAAGTCTGCATGCTTTGTACAATGGATGAATTCAATTTGAAAGGCGCAGGCAATTTCCCCTAGACTGGGTTCCCACACATTTAGATCGATCCATCTGGATCGACCTAACTCCCTGGGGGTTCACGCTAAATTGCTGCCACCTCCTGGGAGCCGAGCGCGCACAAAAGTTAATAACCCCCTTACAGCTTTTAGTAGGCGGGACAGACATTTAAGCCGGTTAAGCTGACAGCAATCTAGTGAGACTCCCCAGGGGGATAGATCGATGTAAATATCTGTGGGGATAGTCTCTTATACCCTTATCGTAACCCTAGATATCTGTAGGTAGTCCTGGTTAGCCACGTGGCGTATCAAGGAAGGTGATGGGGTCTGGGGGTGTGAAATGGTACATGATATCTGTGGCGTATCAAGGAAGGTGATGGGGTCTGGGGTGTGAAATGGTACATGATATCTGTGGGCTGATTGACTTACAGTTGCAGACGGTTGACAGGCAAATCTTTCTTTTATATCTTGATTACAAAACGCTTCCACCAGGTGAATCTCGCGACAGTGTAAAGATCTGATAAGCACTGTAAAGCATATTTAAGTAAATAATAGAATTACAGTTAGGCCTATTTGGTATAAAATACCTCAATATTACAATAATGTAGTTTAATGTTGATAATCAAGAGAATGTGATTGAAGCATGTTATGTTGGATGCAGCACATGCATTTTTTTAATACGCCGAGAAACGAGCCCACTTTGGAAATAAATCCATCAACTCGATCGGCTCTAGTTTGGGAGGCATCCATCATAATGTTTGTATGTTTGTTTGTTTGTTTGTTTTTTTCTGCATAACCTTGTTTGAGGATAACGGTGTCATCATTGCCAGAAAGAGAAATTTTGACCCAGTTTTATCGCTTGCTTGTATTTTTATAAACGTTGGGGAACGGCACAGCTCATTTGGGTCGACGCGTGAGACTACATGTAGTAGCTGTCCTTAAGACATCGTTTTTGTGCTTTGTCATTACACGTGCAGGTGAATGCTTGCCTGGCCTAATAAAAGAAGAATAAAAGAAGGATAATATACTGGTATTTTTAAAGGCGCCCAAAAATTCAACACTTCAACTAAGATTTGTTCAGGTCACCTGTCACACAGTTCATACAAGGGTATTTAGGAACATCATGGACGGTGCAAACTTTACGGCGCAGCGTTTGCTGTTCTTGTTTTTTAGTATCATCGTATTTTCAGCGACCCAAGCAGGTAAGTTGACGTAAATGACGTTGAGTCACGTAGAAAACAATGGGGTTTTAAATGTGATATGAGTAGTTTTAATAACAGTTGTTGGTCATTTATTAACGTAACGTTTATGTTATCTGAAGGGCTGTTCCATAATATGTCACATATATAGACAAAAGGGTTGCCATGTGTGGAAATTTGTTGCATTCGTGAACAAAAATATAGATTTTCCTTTATTGGGTCATAAGAAAATTGTTTGAAGTGGCATTTTTACCGACGATCTTGCCAAGGTTAAGATTCCGTGTTAGAGCAGCCCAAAGGGCGCATTTCTCATAGGAGGGAGTTTATATTTTGTAAATAACCTCTGTGTAACTAGTAAGATAAAAGCTATATATAACTAGTGTATTGGAATCTGCAATGGTAGAGTGGGAAATGGAATTAAAAGAAACAATTTCATTAAAAACTGGACCCAAGATTCCAAGTTTATTGCTTATCGGCAGACAATAAATCCTCATTTGTTAGCTCATGGTGTTTGAAAGCAAACCACCGATATCCCGGAGTATAAGACACCATTCCCACAGATTTTAGATCGATCTATCCCTGTGGGGAGTCTCACTAGATTACTGTCAGCTTAGCCGGCTTAAGCGTCTGTCCCGCCTACTAAAAGCTGTAAGGGGGTAATTAACTGTCGTGCGCGCTCGGCTGACTGCAATTTAGCGTGAGCCCCTAGTGAGTTAGATCGATCAGGATGGATCGATCTAAATCTCTGGGAATGCACTCTAAGGCCCCATTCCCACAGATTTTCGATCGATCTATCCCTGTGGGGAGTCTCACTAGATTACTGTCAGCTTAGCCGGCTTAAGCGTCTGTCCCGCCTACTAAAAGCTGTAAGGGGGTAATTAACTGTCGTGCGCGCTCGGCTGNAAAACGCTTCCACCAGGTGAATCTCGCGACAGTGTAAAGATCTGATAAGCACTGTAAAGCATATTTAAGTAAATAATAGAATTACAGTTAGGCCTATTTGGTATAAAATACCTCAATATTACAATAATGTAGTTTAATGTTGATAATCAAGAGAATGTGATTGAAGCATGTTATGTTGGATGCAGCACATGCATTTTTTTAATACGCCGAGAAACGAGCCCACTTTGGAAATAAATCCATCAACTCGATCGGCTCTAGTTTGGGAGGCATCCATCATACTGTTTGTATGTTTGTTTGTTTGTTTGTTTTTTTCTGCATAACCTTGTTTGAGGATAACGGTGTCATCATTGCCAGAAAGAGAAATTTTGACCCAGTTTTATCGCTTGCTTGTATTTTTATAAACGTTGGGGAACGGCACAGCTCATTTGGGTCGACGCGTGAGACTACATGTAGTAGCTGTCCTTAAGACATCGTTTTTGTGCTTTGTCATTACACGTGCAGGTGAATGCTTGCCTGGCCTAATAAAAGAAGAATAAAAGAAGGATAATATACTGGTATTTTTAAAGGCGCCCAAAAATTCAACACTTCAACTAAGATTTGTTCAGGTCACCTGTCACACAGTTCATACAAGGGTATTTAGGAACATCATGGACGGTGCAAACTTTACGGCGCAGCGTTTGCTGTTCTTGTTTTTTAGTATCATCGTATTTTCAGCGACCCAAGCAGGTAAGTTGACGTAAATGACGTTGAGTCACGTAGAAAACAATGGGGTTTTAAATGTGATATGAGTAGTTTTAATAACAGTTGTTGGTCATTTATTAACGTAACGTTTATGTTATCTGAAGGGCTGTTCCATAATATGTCACATATATAGACAAAAGGGTTGCCATGTGTGGAAATTTGTTGCATTCGTGAACAAAAATATAGATTTTCCTTTATTGGGTCATAAGAAAATTGTTTGAAGTGGCATTTTTACCGACGATCTTGCCAAGGTTAAGATTCCGTGTTAGAGCAGCCCAAAGGGCGCATTTCTCATAGGAGGGAGTTTATATTTTGTAAATAACCTCTGTGTAACTAGTAAGATAAAAGCTATATATAACTAGTGTATTGGAATCTGCAATGGTAGAGTGGGAAATGGAATTAAAAGAAACAATTTCATTAAAAACTGGACCCAAGATTCCAAGTTTATTGCTTATCGGCAGACAATAAATCCTCATTTGTTAGCTCATGGTGTTTGAAAGCAAACCACCGATATCCCGGAGTATAAGACACCATTCCCACAGATTTTAGATCGATCTATCCCTGTGGGGAGTCTCACTAGATTACTGTCAGCTTAGCCGGCTTAAGCGTCTGTCCCGCCTACTAAAAGCTGTAAGGGGGTAATTAACTGTCGTGCGCGCTCGGCTGACTGCAATTTAGCGTGAGCCCCTAGTGAGTTAGATCGATCAGGATGGATCGATCTAAATCTCTGGGAATGCACTCTAAGGCCCCATTCCCACAGATTTTCGATCGATCTATCCCTGTGGGGAGTCTCACTAGATTACTGTCAGCTTAGCCGGCTTAAGCGTCTGTCCCGCCTACTAAAAGCTGTAAGGGGGTAATTAACTGTCGTGCGCGCTCGGCTGACTGCAATTTAGCGTGAACCCCCAGGGAGTTAGGTCGATCAGGATGGATCGATCTAAATCTCTGGGAATGCACTCTAAGGCCCCATTCCCACAGATTTTCGATCGATCTATCCCTGTGGGGAGTCTCACTAGATTACTGTCAGCTTAGCCGGCTTAAGCGTCTGTCCCGCCTACTAAAAGC